ACCTTTATCACCTGTTCGTGCGCTCCTTCCTGTCTTCATCCCCCTTTGTCAACAAAGTAATTAAAAGCCCTTGAGAGGTGCGGTTTCTTGATCCCTCGAGCTCACAAGTGCTTTCAAAACGCCATGTGGACCCTTTTCAGTCGCATCCCTCAGGTAGGGCCGTAGGGCTGGTGTAAAAGCCGCATGAGCAGACTCTGAAATGGCTCGGAAAGGGGCACCAAGAGTTTGTGGCCGCAGGCGGCGCTTGACCGCGCACCACTGCTCCAGTGTGTTGGCGGCACCTCAAGTACCTTAAGCCAGCCGCGGTTTGCTTTAAGAGGCATGCGCCTGTTCAAGACAAGGCTTCTGCCGGGCTTTTTTCGAGCGTTGTGGCCTCAGTTAGACTTTGCCAAATGACGGGGCTGGAGCCCAAGAGAACGGCCGAGGTTAGAGACGGCCCGTGACCCAAAATCCCCTGAGCGTCGCTTGCGTCGCTTGAGCGTCGCTTGCCAGTTGCACCGTGGTGAGCTCGCCTGTGCCAAGGCCTGGTGCACCAAGGCCTCTTCCCCCCCTTTCGAACCAAGGGAGCGCCTTGTGCTCCCCAAGCTTGCCTGCTTGCAAGATGGGTGGCCCTCGCAGTCTCGGCCAATCCCTTCCAGGAATTTGGGTGAAGATGTGGACAGCCCGTTGCACGGGCTCAACAATGACTCAAGAAGCTCAATTAGCAAAGCCGAGCAAGTGACTGAGCTATTCGAGCTGGCATGACTCCAATCAGCACATTGACGTTTGCGGTATGACTTAGGTCCGGGCCAGTGCACACCTTTCTTTTGCCATTTTTGCCATGGCTCCTATCGAAAGGGGGCCCCAGCAGGAGCCTCAAGTCGCGCGCCCAGAAATCGGCTTCAGGCTTCAGTGAGATGTGAAAAGACCCGATGAAGCCGTGGTTTGAAGAGTTTAGGACAGGGCTTCTGCTGGGCTTCGTGCGTTTGGCTGCTGAAGCCCTTGGGGAAGCATCTGTTTAGGCGGTTGAGCTCGCCCTCTGCCCTCCATGGCTCCTGCCTCCACAAGTAAACAGAGTAGGGCCTGTTTAGGGCCTTTTCCCTTTGGAGCCATAGGGGTAGGGCGCCTTGTTCTCCCCAAGCTTGCCTGCTTGCAAGATGAGAACCTCTCTAGCAATCTGGCCTGTTAGTTCTGCAACCTCCAATCCGAGCCAGAGCAAACACGGCATTGACGGAATCTGCACGGTGTCTTGTCTGAATTTAAGCTAATGCGTCAAGGGGGTTGCCTCACATGGCGTGACTGCCATCCCATCCGCAGCAGACCCTTCCTGCCATCCAGCCGCAGGATTTCGACTTTTATTCGCTGCCAGATGCAGGCAGCTGCGTGCTCCAATTGGACCTCGCACTCAGCTTGGGCCCGAAATGTCAGGGACCGGTAGGCAAAAGTTCTGGTGAGGCAGGAGCTTCGAAGGGTCTGGCCACGCAGTGCTTTTTTCGTGGTCCAGCTGCACTTTGACTTTTCCTTGTAGGCAAGCGCTTGTCTGTTTAAGGCAGGGCTTCGGTTGTGTACGAGAGTGGCCACCACAGCCGATTGCACTGTGCGACCGTGGCATCGTATGCTGCAGCTTCCGACCATCCCCTTCAACGCATCTGGCTTTCCCGGAACGATCTCCACGGCCGCCCGTCTAGTGATGGTTCCAGATAGAGTTCCGAAGGCTTCTAAGATAAAGATCTGAGATGGGTTCTTAGTGTCGGTGTCCCCCACCTCAACAAGTCAGCAGGCAGCATAGGCAGCACAGGTGCAAAGCATTTCCGCCACTGTGCTGATGCGGCCCGGCGGATTCAGCCAGAAGTTAGGATGAGTTCAGTTAGAAGCTCGCTTGGGTCTTCGGCATGAATCTGTGGCGAATGCCTGTGGTGGAGCCCCTCTTAAGCTGCTCAATCTGCAGATGCCCAACAACAATTCAGACTTGTCTTTTAAGGCTTTAGCCAAGGCCCCGATTCACTCAGAGGCAAAGAGGGCGTTTCCCGTGCTCCTAGGAGAAAATGGGCGACCGGCGGTAAGGGCAACCCGGCCTGCAGAGGACTGTGGCATACTGCGGCCTTTCTCAGTTCGCCGCATCCCTGGAAGCCACAAAGCCAGGGCATTCCGGAGTTCGCCCCCCGGACTCTTCTGGAGTCCTATTTGCAGTCCTCAAGCGCCCAAGCTGTTTCTGGTGCATGCTGCCACGTTGGACGCTGCCGCTCCCAACTTGCTACTGAAATCAGGGCCTCGGGCCCTTTTTGCTGCGGCTTAGCATCTGCATGTGGGGTGTATGTGCGCAGTGTGAGCGGAGGATTGTGCTCAAAGGCGCTTGTCCTCCCCGAAACAGCTAATCTGCCAAAATCTCCAACAGCAGCTCCTTCCGGCCGACGCCTCCTGCGTTGCGTTGTTGCCACAGATTCACAGCGAGAGCGACCGGAGCAGCCCTCTGCTCGAGGCAGCCCCATGCGTTCTTTGACTCCTTGCACAGTGTCGCGTCTTCCAAGGCTTCGATGCGCCTGAGCGACGAGCCCTGATTCGGCCAGATACCCTTGACAGCCCTTGCAGTGCAGAGCCTAGAAATGTGCCTTGAAGGTCCCGTGTTCCCCACCGGTGTGCTGACCACGTCTCGACGTGAAGCACGCAGCAAGTCACTTTGAATCCACCCTGCCACCGGTGCTTCTTGGCTGGCCTCTTTGCCTGGATCCGTCCAAAAAGTCTCCTGAGGTGTTACTTGCAAGAAAAGACGTTGCATCGCTACTGCCTCGAACACGAGACCATGAATGCTGGGACGATGCGATGGACACTGGTACTTGTTTTTGACCACGACCAAGTGCTCCTCGAAGACACACTGGCAGTTGCCGGCTCCATTCCCAAAATTGGTGGACAGCCTTTGAGAATCCCACGATCCCCCGCGTTGACAGCTGTGTACACAGCATACCTCTGCCGACGTGAGAGGAGGGGCTCCGCATACTTCTCCACGTCTCAGTACACAGTCTTGCTCATCTTGCTCATATCGAGCTCTGCTGAGACATCGGGATCCCGTGAAACCCAACCCTTGGGCCCTAGAGTGGCACTCAGAGTCCACAAGAATTCGGAAGGCGTGACAGTTACATCCAACCTGAAAATGAGCAGATCCCCCTGCAAGTGCCAGGTTCCAGGCGAACTTGATCTTGGGAGGGAAGTAGGGTAAATTAGGCACCCTACATTGCAGCACATCACCCAAAAGTCATCTTAAGAGCAGTACATGAGGGTTTGGTGGCTTGCTTGCTTGCTTGCAGGGCTGAGAACGGCGCTGGGCTTCGAAGTGCCTCTGCGCTGATTCCGTTGAGCGCGTATCCGGGGTTTCACTTGGCAAGAATGGCACCCCGCCCCCGCGCTTGTAGGCCGGCCCCCGGCGCAAGCGGTGCGCTCCCCCAAAAGCCCGCAAAGGCCTCGCGTGTGGCAAGGAGGTTCTGTTGGGGTTCTGCAGGTCGCGTGAGCTCAGTGAGCCGCGTGTGAAAAAGGCCGCTCGGGCTGGCAAAGCACGGCAAGCACGGCCCAGGGGGCCCAGGGGCAGGTTCGGTTCGCCTCGCACTTGTGCGAAGCCGACGCGAATTGTCCAGATGCTGAAGTCCAGGGGCAGCTCGCAACATGGTCGCCGTGGGAGCTCTTGCATTTTCTGCAACCTCTACTGCCCGACCCTCGACCGAAAGGAGAAGTGCTACATCCAGGTCTAGAGCTAGCAGTTCGAATGCAGTAGCGATTCTGGCTGGCACGGCTGCTTGCGCAAGCGCAGGCGTGACTCTCCAGAGGGCAGCTTTTCTGCCGGATTCCAGCATGCGCCTCTGCACTCACACCGCAATCCCTGTCTAGATGCCACATCTAGGTGAAAAGAGAGCCGTTGAAGGCCCCTACTGGGACAAGTGCTTGAGACCTATCGAGTCCTGAGTGTTGCAGATCTGCAGCTGTAGGTCTTCATTGCTCCTTCTCGGGCATGCAGCGGGTGGAGATGTGGAGATTCCATCTTGGCCCAGGAAGAAGCTGAAACGTCCAGGGTGCGGTTGTCTGCTTGGTGCTTGGTGCTGCTTAGGGCCTCGAGTGTCGCGCCCTGACGAGCTCTCGACCTCTAGTGCTCGACTCATGCGCCCCTCCGCAGCTCAAGTCACAAAGGGGCCGGAACATGAGATGATGCTGGGCCGTGAGCTCGCAGACCTTCCCTGCGACTCCGACGCGTTCTCCACAAAGTGTCTCCAATCCGTGGGGTTCAACTGGTCATGTCTGGCCGTTGGACCACTTCGGCTCTTCGAGGGCAGTGCCACGGAGCGCATATGCGGGAGGCGCACTCGGTCTTCTGCATAGAAAAGTGGCGCTGCGTGTCTTTTGCACAAAAGCCCATCGCCGGCGAGAAGGCTCTTGGAGTCCGCGGGATCCGCCGTCTCTTTCACCAGCATGGCCACGCTGATCCCTGTCGACTTGGGCAGCTTCTGGACGCGAATATTTTGAACACACGCATGAGCCCCTAAACCCTCTGATCTAGGACCCTTTTGCCTTAAACTTGCCCTCACCAAGGGGGAGCAGCGAGGTTCGCAAGGGCAGAGAGCTCGCCTGACGAAGCTCGCATGTGGAGAAGCAACAGATACCTCTCAACATCGCCAGCTGGACGAAGTGACGCGGGAGCAGGAGTGGCCTGGCAGGGAGACACTTGGGTCGGGCGAGTACCGGAAGAACGCGCTCATGCTGAAGCAGCCTCCGTGGAACAGATCTTTTGTGTTCTGACTGAGCTGAGCGCATGTTGAAAACCACAGGACCACAGGCTCTTTTGGCAACCCTATGTGTGTTACACCCCTCTTAACAACCCCGCTGGCCTTATTCACAAGCCCTCAATCCCTGGCTCAGTGCAGGTGGGGACGGCGGTGATTCAGAAGGACCTTTCGGGGCCTGCGGAAGCTTTGTGAGTGCCTCTTGAGCCACTGCGCCCTTCACAGAGCTGATAGTAGCCAAGCCTCCAGCCACGCCTTCTACTCCGGGCTTGTGGATGACTGCCAGAAGACAACAAAGGCCCCCCAAATGCAATGCCTGATCTGCCTGGCGGAAGCCTCGCCCCAGGTGCAGATGGACGCATCGATTCTTCGTAGCGTTGCGGATTTCCTGGTCCACTTGCCCTGTGACCCGTGCACGGCGAGCTCAGTGGACCGAGCCAAGCTGATACCGAACTCCATCACACCGAGGTGCTGACGCGGAAGGTGGGGAAGCCTCATGGCTCTCAAGGCCTGGAAGCAGCAGAGCTCAGAAGAAGTCGAAGACTCGCCGGCTTCGCCTTCACAAGGCAGCGTTGGCAAGGCCGCTTCATCACAGCCTCCGCGCGTCGCCGGCCACGCTAGTTCCGTGCTGCAGGCGAATCTCGCGAGCGGGCGGAGAGATGCGGTGAGAAGCGGCGCCCGTGCCGGCATGAAAGCAGCCAGGTCAACGTTGCACGTGATATCACGTGATTTTCCTCGAGCCTCACCTCAATCGGTGCTTCGGCCGTGAGGACGCGCCGGCCTTGATCAGGTTAGCGCGCGGACTTCCGTGCCGAAAACGTGGCGCGCCTGCTTCAAGGACATAGGAGGCACCTTCCCGCGAAACACAAACCGTGCAGGGCCGCAGGGGTCCTGTGTTTGGAGACGTTGCTGGGAAGTGCGCCCATCCCATGCCATTCTCGACCGCGGCTGCACGGAAGCACGTTCTTCTCGGGCCGGCCGCGCTGCGCGGGCGGCCCGGGGCGCTCTGAGGCGCATGCAGCGCTTCAGGCTTAAGCGGCTCAATCATGGGGCCGAGCGGGTCAGGCATTAAGCTCTGTATTCCCGGAGGCATCCTGCTGCTCCTTTGGCTTCTGCAAACTTCCGCTCTTCAATAGTCTATGTCATCCGTCGGCCGAGTCTCTCAGGCAGTGCCTCGGACGGCGGTCGTGCGCATTTTGCGTGCGGCGGCCCTGCCTGCGGCGCCGGGCGTGTGGGCCCTGGAGGCAGAGGCAGAGGCCGAGAACTCGGAGGCCTGCTGCACTTCGTGTGTCTCATTTCATCTCATGTCTCATGGTATCTCGGCTCCCCAAGAGCTGGCTCACTCGATTTTTACAATGCAGTATTATGGCGCGTGCAGCGCTGAGGGCAAGTAGCTTGCCTTTAAAATGAGCTCCACATGCTGCTCATATTGCTCATGCCCGCCATGTGGGCAGTCTCCTCATCGCATCGGAGGCAAACGGTTGAGGCGATCAGCTCCCTAGCCCGGAGACCTTCGCCCACCCACTTTCTCTCGCCATACGCGTTCAGCCCAAGCTGCATGCATTGAGCGTGCAGCTCCACAAGCTCCACACAAGCTCACCAATCTCCGTGGGCGCCGTGGGCGATGCCGGTAGGGTACTTGCCAGGCCTGCTTGAGGCGGCAGCTTGCCGAGGAGGCGCCGTGAGAATCCCATGCAGGCGCAGCCGCAGCAGCTGCTCTGGCTTTCAGAAGCGCTGAGGCGCTTCAGCGCTCCCTGTCAAACCGTGCGGGAAGCAGCATACACGCGGCCAAGGAAGCTTCCACAGGGTGCAGGCTTGAGAGGCGCCCGGGCTGACGTTTGCGCGATGGCTCTCCCGAGCAGCGGCGCTTCGCCGCGTCGCGCTTCTGCGCACACGTCACCGTGAGGAGTCCTTCGCATCGCAAGAAGCCAACTTGCCTTGCTGTATTTTCCGGATGCCCGTCCCTACGCAAGACTGCCACAAGGGCAGCTGTGGCTCAGCGACAGCTTAGGAAGAAACATCGACGTGCCGGCTGTCAGCGGAAGCAAAAGGTCAATGGGCCCCGCCATCCTTCCACGAAGTCATCGTGCCGGTTCGCAGGAATGCCAGGCCCCATCGCCAACGCAGCGATGTCACAGGATGACAGCTCCTGACACAGTGCCACCGCGCTCCATGCAACAGCTGCTTTCAACTACCGTCAAGAAATTTGGGTCCGATCCCATTCTTGCCATCCTCCTCTTGAGCCAACCGTGTAGCCATTTGAGAATCCAGGTGTTGGAGAGCACGCGGGCATTCGCCGCCCTAGCGTTCGCCGTGCCAAGAGCCTGTGTACCTCTAGCTGAGCGAGGTGGAGCCTGTTTCGGCGCCGTTTTCCGTGACCTGGAAGACGATGGCCGGGTTCTCGAAACGAGGTCGAGCTGCCAGAGGTTGGTTTCCAGTCGGGCGCGGCGATCGACATGATGTCCATGGTGCCCCGTCTGTGCCCTCGTGACTCCTCTGCACCCGAAATTTTGCCAGTGAAGCCCGAGATGCTCGGTGTTTTCTCTCTGCCCTGAATATCACGCGAGCACCCCCTGCGATGCCTTGAGCCTTGCGAGGGTCTCCATAAACGCCGGAGAGGCCCACAACAGCTGGCCCGGCTCTGCAGGGGGCGGGGGCCCCCTCGATCACACGGACACGCCGCTCATGGTCTCCTCCGTTGATGGCGCTCGGCGCCGTCATTTTGGGGGGCTGTCGGCGCATTCAGAGCCAAGATCATTTCTGCTTCTGAAATCGAAGCGCCTGCCTTACATTCTCCCCTTCGGTCTGCAAAAGGCTCCAAAGGCTTCCCTGCTCTGACATGCCGCTCGGCACCGTGACGTTCCTCCAAGCATTACCATGGATGGCTCCCTAGAAAGGGCAGGGAAAGCTCATATCGTGGCTTCTGGAACAGTTGAGAAGTCATTCAGAGGACGAGATGCAAAGAACATGTTCACAAATAGATGAACTTTCTGACCCAAAGCTGAAGTATGCATGATGCCGATTCCAAAGCAGGTCGCATCTCCTTGCCAGCTGTAAGGCACTGCAAGGCTGTAGGGGCCGTGGAGGTGGCGGCGCAGCCGGTGCCTGTCGACCTTCACGAGCCAGGGAGGAGCACGGATGCTGTAGTTTGCGCTCGATGCAGGCAGCAGCATGTCGAAAACGGTTATTCTTGTTTCGGCCTGAGAGTCTCAGTGTTTCTCAGCGTGTCTCAGGAGCTATGGTGTATTTACGGGGTTGCGCCCATGTGCAGACAGATGCTCGAGGAGAGTTGCGTCTGCAACGGGTCAGCTGAGGCTTTCGTAGCCGGAACGCGGAGGGGATTTGGGCCGGCGTTGAGCTTGTAAGGACATCATTTTTAGACATCCGTCCATTTCTGAAGCCGTGCAAAGCTTGTTTCAAAGCGTATGCATCCATCCAAACCGCTTCAAAGACCCAACCCCCCCAAGCCCCCGCTTTTTCAGCCCATGCAAACCCATCGTGCGAACGTTCTGTTTGCAAATGGTTGTGACCCGGGCTTTTTCAGCCGTGCGCACCATTAGGATCCTTTCCAAACCCGTCGTGCGAGCATTGTGTTTGCAAAGCGGTAATGGGATTAATCAAAATTAATGAAAATCACTTAAGATTAATTGGAATTTGCTAAAATAAAAACTAGAAGAGGGATGGCCCGAAAGCATCGATTTGCCGCGCGTTGACTCCATGCACTTGACTCCTTGCACTCGAATTGTATGCGCTTGGACAAGTCTATGCACTTACATGGTTGCATACTCACTTGTATACTGCACTGGTATACTGGACGTGTATGCACTTGAACTGCATGGCATTCAAGTGTGTGTTGAGTTGAATGCCATGCACTTGTGGTCAACTCTATGCACTTCATTGGAATTCTCTACATATGAGGTTAACGGACTTGAACTCGACACTGTTGAACTCTATGCACTTGAGCAAGTGCATTCGACCAGAACTGTCCACGAGGCTGATATGCACTTGAACTGAATGCACTTGGACAACTGTATGCACTTATATGGTTCTAGACTCTGTGCACTGCACTTCTATGCACTTCCACTGCATGGCACGATATTTCCCAGGTTTTCGACCCCCCGGAATTTGGCGAGGTTTTCGAGGCCCCGGAATTCGAGTCCCACGATATTTGCGAGGGTTTCGACATCCCGGAATTCGAGTCCCACGCTATTTGCGTGGTTTTCGACGGCTGTCGAGTCCCACGATGTTTGCGATGGTTTCGACATCCCGGAATTCGAGTCCCACGATATTTGCGAGGTTTTCGACGAGAAAAGACAAAAACATCCCCGTGTCTTCACGCGCGCGGAAGTCCGTTACCATGCTATTTGCGGTGTTTTCAAGCGCCCAGATGTCCGTTACCGTGCTATTTGCGGTGTTTTTCAAGCGCCCAGATGTCCGTTACCGTGCTATTCTCCGCGCGTCCGCGGCGTACTACATCTGTACTACAAAAATCGATTTTCCAGCCGCGGAAGCTCCGCGTGTCCGCGGCGTACTACGTCTGTACTACAAAAATCGCCTTTCCAGCCACGGAAGCTCTGCGTGTCCGCGGCGTACTACGTCTGTACTACAAAAGTCGACTTTCCAGCCACGCCAGCTCCGGGCGTCCCCGGCGTACTAGATTTGTACTAGCAAAGTCGACTTTCCAGCCACGGCAGTCCCCGGCGTGCTACGTCTGTACTACAAGAGTCAAAAAACAACAGCCACGGCAGTCCCCGGCGTACCGTAAAAAAAACGACGGTTTTAGCACCGCGACCACGGTGAAACCCGCAGAAGGTTGTCCGCGCACAGAAAGAAACGTAAAAAAAACGACGGTTTTAGCACCGTGACCACGCCGAAACCCGCTGAATTTTGATTATTTTTAGGTTATCTTAATTAATTTTAATTAATCTTACGTAATAACAATTCATCTTAATTAATTTTAAGTAAGTTTAATTAATTTTAAATAATTTTAATTAATTTGAATTAATTTTAATGAATTTTAATTCATTTTAATTAATTTTAATTAATTTTAATTAATGTTAATTAATTTTAATTAATTTTAATTAATTTTAATTAATTTTATTTAATTTTAATTAATTTTAATTAATTTTAATTAATTTTATTAATTTTAATTAATTTAAAATTAATTAATTTTAATTAATTTTAATAATTTTTATTATATTAATTAAATTTAATTAATTTTAATTAATTTTATTGATATTGGTTTAATTTAATTAATTTTAATGAATTTAATGATTTTAATATTTATGAATTTTAATGATTTTAATGAATTTTAATGAATTTTAATGAATTTTAATGATTTTAATGAATTTTAATGAATTTTATGAATTTTAATGAATGTTTAATGAATTTAATGTTTTAATTTTAATTTTTAAATTTTCATTTTTTTAAATTTTTTAATAATTTTAATTAAAATTAATTTTAATTAATTTTAATTTAATTTTAAAATTAAATTTTAATTCAATTTTAAATTTAATTTTTAATTAAATTAATTAATTTTAAAATTAATTAAAATTAATTAAAATTAAATTAAAATTAATCAAAATTAATCAATTAATTCAAATTAATTAAATTAATGAAAAAAATCAAAATGATTAAATTAATTAGGATAAAATTAATTAAAACTCATAAAATTGTAATACTAATTAAAAATAATCATTAAAAACAAAAAATTTTAGAAAATTAAATAAAACTAAATAAAAAAAAATTAAAAAATCATTAAAAATCATGAATTTATTCCAAAAATCAACATTAATTAAAAGTGATTAAATACATTAAAATTACTTAAAATTTTAAAAAAAAAGATTAATGAAAATTAATACATTAATTAAAATTAATTAGAACCAATTAAAATAAATTAAAAATAAATAAATAAATTAAAATAAAAAAATAAATCAAAAATAAAATAATCAAATAAATTCAAATAAATTCAAATAAATTTCATAAATTCAAATAAATTCAAATAAATTCAAATAAATTCAAATAAATTAAAATAAAAAATTAAAATAAATTCAAATAAATTCAAAATAAATCACATAAATTCAAATAAATGCTAATAAATTCAAATAAATTCAAATAAATTCAATAAATTCCAAATAAATTCAATTAAATTCAAAATTAAATTCAAATAATTCAAATAAATTCCAAATAAATTCAAGTCAATTCAAATAAATTCAAATAAATTCATAAATTCAAATAAAAAAATGAAATAAATAAATGAAAATAATTAACAATTAAGTAAGTTACATAATTATTAAAATTAATTAAAATTAAATTAAATTAATTTCAAATTAATTCGAATATTTAAAATTAATTAAAATTAATTAAAATGAATAAAAATAAATTAAATAAATTAAATAAATCAAAATTAATTCAATTAATTAATTAAAATTAATTAAATTAATTAAAATTAATAAAATAATTAAAAATTAATTAAAATTAATTAAAAATAATTAAAATTTAATTAAAACTAATAAAAATCTTAAAATAAAAATCAATTAAAATAAATAATTTAAAAATAAAATGACTTATAATTAAACTATCAAAATTAGTTAAAGTTAATGAAATTAATCAAAATGAATAAAATTAATTAAAATTTATGTGAAAAATGAATTCAAATGAAATTCAAATGAATCAATGAATCAAATTCATTCAATGAATTCAATGAAATTCAAATGAATTCAATGAGTTCAAAATGTTAATTAATGCAAATTAATTCAAATTAATTCAATTAATTCAAATTAATTCAAATTAATTCAAATTTCAAATTAATTCAAATAATTCAAATTAATTTCAAATAATTCAAATTAAATTCAAATTGAGAAACTTAATTAAATTCAAATTCAATTCAAAATGAAAAATTAATTGAAATAATTATCAATTTTAATTAAAAAATTTATCAATAATGCCAATTTAAATTCACAAAAAATTGATTAATATTAATTACAAGTAATTAAAATTTCTTAAAATGTATTAAATAATTTCAAAAATTAATTAAAAACTAACTAACACTACTTCAAATTAGTTGAAATTCCTGAAATTATGAAAATTAACACTATTAAAATTAATTAAAAATTATAAAAATAACAATTATTAAAATTAATTAAAATTAATTAAATTAATTAAGATTAATTAAAAATTATTAAAAATTCATTAAACTTAATGAAAATTAATGAAATTTATAAAATTATTAAAATTAATTAAAATTAGCTAACATTAATTAAAATTAGTTAAAATCAACCAAAAGTAAAATTAAGTAAATTAAATGAAAATCAATTATAATTCATTTGTCATTATTGAATTAAAACAAAATTAACATTTATATTGAAATTAAATTTTTAATTGAGATTTAAGTTCAAAATTAAAAATTCAGATTCAAAGTCATTTGAATTTGAAGCATTTTTAATAAATTTGTTTTTTAT